GGTTTTTTGGGGTTCAATTTATAACTTATCAAGTATGTTTCCGAAGAAGCAAAAAGTCGTTTGTTTAGCTTAATTTTGAGGTTGGATATGGGATCAAAACGATTGGAGAGAATAATGATCGAATGAATGAAAAAACCATTCCCCTTTCCTCCATCTCATTGCTGCTCTCTATCACTTAATTTTTTCACCACCGGTACAACCCCCTGTCATAATCAATAAACAAAAACTAAAATTCAACTCAACTCAATAACTTAAACAGAATACTCAGTTAACATATACTACCATTTACCCATTTTACTTATTTCAGTTATGAGGGATGCCACAGTTAGGATATTATGGCTTAAACATAATATTAAAATGGAAAGCAATTGAATATACTAATGTTTAAACATAAAAATCAAAAAATATATATCTAATTCATGAATTACTTTATGAGGGTTGTCTCCTGGTTTTCAGGGGAGGGGATTGCAATGAAGATGGTGTATTATATAACATAACCTAATCAAGCAGTGTGTTGCACACATACATCATGACCTTCATTCTTCAAGCATCATGGAAACACCATTAGGTTATTATTTCTCATCACATGGTCCCGTTCTCTTATGCAATATATGATTAACTTGGTATTTTTAAATTAGCCTAAAATCATGTATGATCAGATAGATATATTAATTTACATTTGTAGACCTGAAGAACAGTAGGGACAAAAATCAGCTTGTATACCTCCTTACTCAAATGGTTAGATAAGGTATTTACAAACGCTCTGTGCTGGTTTGTGACTAAACCAAAACCAAGAAGCATGTAATTATAGCTTAACATGATGCTTACAATAATTATGTTCTTTCTATTAAAGAAAACATGATCACGATTTGCAGTCTGTGGATCTTCATGTGTTATTTCACTGCAATATAGAAGTGTCATTGAACATAAAAGTGTTGGGATTTAATATTATGAAACATATCAGAATTATAAACATAAAACTTGTGCTAAACTTAAAGAGGCAAACGGATTTCTGAATTTGACAGATAATTTAAAAAAAAATGCATGCTGTCTATATGGCATCTTCGCGCACACACACACAAAAATAAAATAAAATAAAATAACAGAGACATGATTCTAACCTAGGCTACAAAATATATCTACTTGATCAATATAGTTTATAAAAACCAGGAGTATACAGTATGCAAAGGATTATTACCAATTCATTTGATATGAAGCATGTTCCATCATTGTTAAAGCTAACACCTTTTTTTCACAGTGAAGTATTTCAAATTCACCACCAAGGGCTCCCTATATCATTTGACATATAAGATGCTTCAAGTTTCTTGTTATTTAATAAAAAGTGAAAATATAAAGCTAATAATAAAAATCACCAGTACTTCTTTTACATAACAACTAAGAATACATTTCATATTTAAATTGATTGCATATGAAAAGGAAAGGGAAAATGGGGGGTTAACTTGCATCTGTTGGAGACGAACATGATTCAGGAAAGAATGAAAAGGAGAGAAAAATGGAGGAAATAGCAACTCACAATAGATTGGCGATGGTGGCGACAAATGCTCTCTCCAACTCCATATCTCTTGATTTATCTTCTCTGCGATCGAATGAGAGAGAAGAGAAGGAGGGCGATTCCAGATCCACCAATGGGGTTAGGTTGACAGTGGATGGTGGCGATGTTGGTGATGGTTATGGCGGACACACCAACACTGCCTCACATACCTAAGAATCCAAAGAAGAGAGAAACAGGGTAAAGGCTGACATGGGATAGTGGTGGTGAATGGTTTCGATGGTCGTGGTGGCTAGCGCTTGTGAAGGTTTTTGGAGAGTAGCAATTGGTAGAGATGAAGGTGGTGACAGTGATTGTGGATTGTGGAGACGTTGAAGGAGGTGGTGGATTGTGGCGACCCATGGAGATTGTGTGTGTGAAATTGGGGAGAAGAAGATCAGAGGTGGTGTGTTGACGCTAGGTTTTATTAGATTGAAGATGAGAATTTGGAGAGATAGAGGGTTTTCGATTTTGAAATTGAGATCCGAGAATGAAGAAAACGAAAAGGTTGGATGTGGGGATATTTGGCGAGATCTCGGGAGCCAAACAGACTCGATCAGGGGATTACGGAATTGGGTCCAAATATGCATTAGATAATTGTACATTACGCTTATAAGGTTGGATGACTTAAAATTTATTATTATTTTATTTATAATTGGTTGTAATTTAGGCTTTGA